ATACTATAGGATGTTCCCCCTTTTCTCCCGGACTGTTTGCTTTGAGGTTAACTTGCAAGTACATAATTGAACACCTGTTTACTAGAGGACTGCCTGGTGAATCCAACTGCAGATGACACATCTGCAAGAGCATGCCATTTGCTTTGCTCTGGACTCCAATTCTGTCTTATGAGGCGAATACATAATTTCCATTAAAGTGGGTAGGGATTTCATGCACATGTGCAGTATTAAATGTTGCCCTGGGGGTGGGTAGGGAATTAAATTATTGCAGTAGAGAGCCCACAGTGCAGTGCGGAGGAATGGTGCTCACAGCTCTTGTTCAGGTATCCTTCACTAGCGCCTGGATTCTTTCATGTGGCCTTAATTTTTTTCAACTTTAATTAAACTCTCTCTGGGCTTTGGAAGCTTAGGAAAGAAATGTTGATTGCTTACTAGCCAGACTTCCTCAGTGGCTCTTGTTGGGGACCACTGACCTACACAAACCCACGTTTTGGGGCTGCCGAGCGCTTGGGGGTGGGGCTGATCACGCGCCGTGCATATGGGGGCGAGGCTGCTCACGGGCCATGTGCTTGGGGGTAGGGCCAAGCATGCGCTGCATGCCCGGGGCCGGCACCAGCATGTGCCACAACCCCAGGCAGGGGCCACCCAGGTGTCATGCGCCCAGGGCCGGCACCGGCATGTACCGTGACCCCAGGCAGAGGCTGCCCAGGTGCTGTGCGTCCTAGGGCTGGCACCGGCATGTGCCGCACACCCGGGGCCAGGGCCGGCACCAGCATGTGCTGCGACCCCGGGCAGGGGCCGCCCAGGCGCCGCATGCACGGGGCATGTGCCGCGACCCCAGGGCAGGGGCCAGCCCAGATTGATCCGCGGGTGCACATAAATGGCCCGGTGGGCGCCATGGTGCCAGCAGGCACCGCATTGGGGACCACTGCTGTAGGTGATGTAGTCAGTGCATGGGGCAACTTGGCTGCCTGCCTACCACATTTGGAAAAATTGGTTCCCTATGTGGAAAGGACTTCTTCAAATGCTGGGAATCATTCTCTTGGGCTATGTCTAGACTGCAGGCTTCTTTCGAAAGAGGCTCTTTCGAAAGCATCTTTCGAAAAAGCCTCTTTCGAAAGATCGCGTCTAGACTGCAGGCGGATCTTTCGATAGAGGAAATCCGCTTTTTCAAAAGAGAGCACCCAGCGAGTCTGGATGCTCTCTTTCGAAGACGGCCTCTTTACATTGTAGAACGCCTTCTTTCGAAAGAGGAACTTTCGAAAGAAGGCGTTCTTCCTCGTGAAACGAGGTTTACCGCCATCGAAAGAAAAGCCGCGTTCTTTCGAAATAATTTCGAAAGAACGCGGCTTGAGTCTGGACGCAGGGGAAGTTTTTTCGGGAAAAGGCTACTTTTCCCGAAAAAACCCCTGAGTCTGGACACGGCCCCGGTGCCGGAGGCAGGGACGGAGCAGAGGCAGGCAAAGGTGGCTTTTTGGTGCCCAAACCCCCAGGGTCAATTAGAACACACCTCTAATGGCCTTTTGTAGGCCCGATAAGTGGAGAGACTCGTAGCACAATGCCTGCTTCCCAGTCTAGCTGGGAGGTGTATGCTAGGTGGGTGAGGAGGTCAGGAGGTTGTTTCTGCCTGCTTTAAGTCCCTTTTATCTTGCCAGAGCAAGTTTTTTCCCAATATTCAGTAGGAAGAGATTGGTGTGTGCTGGTCTAACCAACACACCTGCTGGGTGTGGTGCACTGTCAGTGGCTCCGAGACTACTTACTGAGAGAATGAGTTTGCTCTACAGCCTTAGCTGACAGCCAGCTGGTTTTTCACCCCAGCTCTAGGGGCTCATGCATGAAGCTGCAGAGGTCCCAGGTTTGGTTCCACCTGCTGGCATTACGCTGGCCCACCTGATGATGCTGAATGCTTTATGCAGTGCCTGAGGGAGGCAAGGGTGTGGACAAGGGCTACCAGGCTGAGAATCAAGACAGATGGGTGGCAATGATTTTTGTTTGTTTTAAGAGGCATGTGCCCACCATTTCTGATGCAGGAGTGTGACTGGATAGTGCTGCATTTCAGGCGTGGCTCCATGTCGCTACCATGACTCTCACTGCAGCAGTGCTGGGCAATAAAGCCCTGGCTTTTTCAGCCAATGGCTCTCAGAACCCAGCTGGGGACTGGCGGTTGACTGAGTCTGTGGCTCCTTTCTTCCCAGTATTTCTGCTCAAGAATCATTGAATCTGATGCCATTCAACTTCCCATCGTCCCTGTGAAGGGAACTGCTGTTTGAGGCTTCCTAACTACTATTCCACGCAGACTTTGTGATTTTGGAGAATACTAACCATTAGCGTCCAGGACATGAATTATCCATAAATGTGTGCAAGTCCAGACTACAATAGTCTCTTACCTCAGACTTTTATCTGCACTAGGTTCATCATTAAATAATACTGACTGAACTAACAGTGCCTCCCTGCCCTTTGCTACAGAGCTATTCATAGACACAGGAGGTTGCATGCTTCAGCCAGTGGCTCCTTAAAGAGAGGGATGTTGCAGTCAGTTTCAGCTGATTAGTAATGTAAATACCGGTGACAATACCTGCAGCACTTGGCATCCTGTCTCTAGGGGTGAGATTCTATAAGAACCAATACAGCTTACTACAGGTTATCGGTGTTAAAAATATGCAAATGCAGCTCTACTTTTCTGGTGGATTCTCTGATTTTTTTTAATATTTGGTATAATGGGTACAGCATAAGTGACACACCTATAGCTAGACTATTATCAGTATTTTATTCATAACTGTGCTTACTAAACATTCCTTTCAGGTAAGTCTCTGCTTCGATTTTGAAGGTTGGACATGAACAGTAGGAGACTTCTGCAGTGGACTTAAAGGGCACCCCTTTCACAATGAGTAGCGCAAGGAGGCACAAGTGACTTCCAATCTTCTGGAAATAATGTGGCAGCAATACCACACGCTACAGCTGTGAATATATATGTGAATCTTATTACGAAAAATGTATTCAAGAATTATTTGCCTTCTACTCCAAAAAAACCAAAACAAAACAAAAAATAAAAACCCCTTTCATGTAATATTTTAGGGGTTTGAAAAACGTATTTGCAGTGAAGCAGGTGAAAATCTGACAAGCTCTCTTTGCACTTGAGGATTTTGGAACAGCTCCTAGACAAGCTACAGACTATTCCTAAAAATGCTGCTGACTTTCTCATTGGCATCATATAATTATAAAATGATTCAAGTGGCATATAAATATTGTGCTTGCATTTCCGGGTCTGAATCAAGTGGCATATAAATATTGTGCTTGCATTTCCGGGTCTAGTGTATAAACAAGTCATTGTCTGTATGCAATTTGGTACTGACTTCACTACTTTTTTTTTAATGTGCCTATACAACTAGGCAAATATCTAGATGAATTGAAGTACCCCTTGGAAGACCTCTGTGTACCCCCAGAGGTACATGTACCCCTGGCAGAGAAACACTGGATTATAGCATCAATGCTCAGAGCCTTTTTGTGACTATATTTTTTTTATTAAAGCTTTTCTTTTTATTACATGCTGGTTCAATCAAGTAAGAAGAGACTATATTTTTGCAGGAGGTCCTCTGGGAGTAGCAACAAGTGTAAACAAAGTAGAACAGGATCTAATATTCAGCATGCCAGCCACGCTAGGTACTCTCTTCCTACAGGAAGGGACAAGAATGCGGCTCAGGCACTCTGATGTTAATAAAAAAGGAGGATTTGGAGCCAGACTCCTTATTCTTTTTTTTTTTTTAACTGTAGTATCGTTTGTTTCAGCAGGCTTTGCTATTGCTAACAACACTTTACAACCAAGTCTAAAATTTATTCCAGTTAATGCGGTGTGTTCTTTTTATCTAAAAGCCCATCTGAGTGTTGGAAATGCTGGGCTGATGTGTGAGTACACATACATTATTTCACAGCGAGAGAACAAGGTTACACACACTCAGCCGCAAACAGCTCTGCAAAGACCAGATGCTGAAAACCAGAGCCAATGGGGGTTTTGAGATGTGCAGTCATGGTGCAATGCAATCCACGCTAGCCCTGCTGTTGCTTAACCTTGCACCTGAAAAGGGGGTGCGAAAAAGCATTGCTATCGCTTTACCAGGTCCTGATGTCCGGGTTCATAATGTTTCCTTCGAGTCAGTCACCGGCAAAGATCATTTGGTGCTTCACAGTGGGGTCTGGCATGATGGGATACTGAGTATCTGATCCCATTGTAACAGCACGAGGACCAATGATGATCCTGATGTCTCCACACTTCCTCTGCATTTAAATGTGGCGTAGGCAATAGAAGTGAGGGCTGAGGCAAGAGGCTTCTCAAAACTTAGGAGAGGGGCTGATCCTGCAGCCCTTATGCAGAGAACATGGCCTGATGTCACTGGAGACATCCCAGGGAACGTAGCGAAGATTATGTGAAAGGGCTTTTACCTGCACCGTGATGGTGAGGGCCAGAGACGGGACGGGATGGACAGGCTGTCCAGGCAGCAGGGACCTGGTGATTGACAGGCACTGAAGGGAGGAAATAGAGGAAGTGGCTCACTCCTCCCTCAATACGAGGGTTTGGCCCTGTCGTTCTTTGTTGTGCATGAACCCACTGGCTACCCCCTTCCTCTCCTAGATTGCCCACGTCTCCCTTCTGTGCAAGACACCTTTGGTTATCTGCTCTGGAGATAGGGAAGCTGGGGACAGAGAATTCCCTGGATGGGGACTGTGCTAGTTGTGCACAGCTAGTACACAACTTTTAGGCTGCCTTTTGATTTTATGCCCCCAAATTGAGGCACCTTTAGCTGTGGACCTATGGGATTAATGACGGCTGGATGAGTCTCTGGGGAGATTTTCCAAAGTGCTCAGCATCTCGCAGCTCATAAGTACAATAGGAGCTGCTGGGTTCTGAACACTTGCCATGAATAGTCCCATAGTGTCTGAACAAAGTGTGTTAGCTTCTGACCCCCCTAAACTAAATTAGTCTTCTCTTTCTTTTTGTTTCATAGTCCAGAAGTCAGTCCCGTATCACCCTGAAGCAAAGCACCAAACAGAAGGTACGTGAACTCTTTTGCTCAATCCTCTTTGTCTTGTTCCTTAGTTGATAACAATGGGCGCATAGATTTCAAGAGAGAAGAATTTCTGGTTTTCATGGCTACAGTTCTATGTTCCATGAAGGCATGTGGGGAAACAATGAAGAATACTTTCAGCAATGTATATTTGGTCTGGGGGAGGGGACTACTATGGGTTTAGGATTTTTTCCCCAGGATTCCCAGATATGCCATTCAATCTTCAGAGCACTTATGAGTAAACTAATGAAGAATGATGACCTCACCCTGCCTAGTGCCCCAGCTCAATAGGTGACATGGATTGTGCTGAAAAACTGAGCCCGGTAGAATTCCCTTGGAGCCATTGCTAGAGATTGTCCAGTGGTGAAGCTCAGAGGCAGTTTGCGTCCCTGTCTCTCCTGACCGGTTACTAATGACTGTGAGTTAACAGGAGTGTTGGTCACAACTTGTGCCCAACAGAAAGAGCAAAGTATGGTGTGCGGGGGAGGATGCCGAATGGTTGGGAAATGAGGAAGGACTAGACGTGAGAGGGCAGAATGAGAGGGGGGTTTATGTGTTCTGCACAGCGGATGAGGCGGGTAGAAAGTGTGGTGCTGGAGGAGTAGGGGCTGCCCTTTGAGAGGATCTGGTTTATCAGTGTTCCAGCCCCGACTTTGGGGAGAGGAAAGGTTTCCTGAGGACAGGAGCCAGATTCGCCATATGTGCTGTGAGTGTGTGGGTTTTTTTGTTGTTGTTGTTGTTGTTGTTTTTTGCCCGACAAATTTTCCCCGTTTTTTTTTTACCTTGACAATTTTTTTGTCTGTTGTGTCTTTTTTTTTTTTTTTTTTTTTTTAAACCATCTAGCAGCTCTATGGGTTGCACGGGGCCACCAAGTAGTTAGGACCGGCCCTGCCTATACCTCTGGTAGCAACTGCCCTGGGAGAAACATGCATTCCTGGAAGAAGCCAGATAGCAAGGACCCAGCCCCTAGGGGTACACCAGAGAGGAACAGCTCTTTTTGAAAACTGGGCTTGATACAACTCCCACCTACTGAGGCTCTCTGTAAGACATGAAAGATGAGTGTGTGATGCAGTCAGAGGGGTGCAACTCCCTCGTAGGCTGGTAGAATGAGGCGGGAAAAACTGTGGTTGGCCCCAAATGTTGTTGTTTTCACCACAGTCCATCTTTACCTACCCAGAGAGCAATGCAGCATTGCCATGTATTCCTGTCTGTGGCTTGGGCCTCCGCTAAGCCCAACCTCATTTTCTCCCAAATAGGTTTTAAATAGAAACATTAAAAATAGCATTTCGGATAGAAGTTGGATTTTCTTTTGGTCTTACACTCTTAGCAGTGTTTCTTGCCTTTGTTTGTTTTATATCCCAAATGAGTTCAGAGCTCCACTGTGCATATACAGTAAGAGATTGTAACTCTTTGGAGCTGGGAATGTTTAAGCAGGCAAGACAAAGGGAGTAACAAAGTACAGGTTGAACCTCTCTAGTTCGTCACTCTCTGGTCCTGCAACATCTGTGGTCTAGCATGAATGTAGTTATCTGGATGTCCACTTACCATGGGCGTGGCCAAGTTTCCCCTGGTCCCATAAAGTTTTACAGCCACCAGTCCTGGTTCTCAATGTTTTGTGCTGTGTAGCTCTAATTTGCCCCTAAATATCTTCTAAGGGCCCAGTGAGCAGAGGAAGTGTTGGTGATGCGGCTAGATAATATTGACCTCCTGTTGTTTGGCAAAAATCTCTGGTTTGGCACCGGTCAGGCCCTGAGAGTGCTGCACTACAGAGGCTCCACCTGTATTAGCCCCATTTTGACATGGAGAACTGAGGCCCTGAAGCATTTCTGCATGTACAGCACATTGCTTTCATTTTTAAAAAACAAGCCATTTTTAGCCTGTAACGTACTAGTAAAATGTGCTCTGTAACCTGTCAGAGAATAGAAAGAAACATCCATTTGTCACTGCCTACTGGGGTGCAATATTTTTGGGACCATATTTATTTTTTCCAGTTTTATTGTTGCCATCAGGATATGAATTGTTTTATTTTGCTGATTTTAATATATTCAGAGAAACATGAATTGGAGGGTGACTAGCAAAGACATTTTGACTCTGGAATGTGACTGGTTTATTGATAGTGATTCTACATTCCAGAGGTGGGGGGGGGCACACGACCTCCCCTCACGTCTCCACCTCACCCCCTAGCTTAGGGCCCCAAAATCTTCCCCTGCCCTTCCCCATCCCACGTTACCTGGGGGTAGGAAAAGCTGGGGGGGGGGCAGTACAGCAGTCATGGGAGGTGTCTGTAGCTGTGCTGCTTTCCCTGCTCTGATCTGCCAGTGGAGAAAGGAGGAGGATCCACAGGCCCACCGGCTTCCCCTCCCCAGAGCTGCCTCTCCTCCGGCTCTGTAGAGCCTCAGCCCTGCTGGAGGTTGGGGGAAGGCCTGGGGGGACTGCTGCTTTCCCCACTGGGAGGGATGGGAAGGAAAGGAGCAGAACACTGGCAGATCCTGTCTGCTTTACTGCTCCCCTCCAGCCCCGTTCCCCAGTGGGGCTGCTGCTGTACGGGGACATTGGAGGAGAGGTAGCTCTGCAGTGAGGATGGGGGCGGGATGGAGTCTTTCCCTTGCACTGTACTGTCTATACAGAGTTGGTCTGGTTTAGTGGATGTTGCCAGCCACTTTCTTGCCAGTACATACCTGGCCGTACTAGCTTACTGCCACCCCTGCTGCATTCTCTTTTCCTTCTGTAAAATCAGACTCAGTCTGACTTTGTCTCTCTCTTGATTTCCACACAGTGAACAGAGCTCTGTTTTAACTCAGATTTTAGATAGGGGAAATTATATTCCTTTTGGCTCAAGCATGAGCTTACTGATTTGTGGTTCCAGGCTTTTGAAAAGCTGTTAATCAAAGCACAGCACATTATAGAAAAAGCAGAGGAAGAAGATGGCCAAGCTTCAGGAAGTTTTGATCTCTGATCTCTCCAGCTTTACTTTAATCTTTTCAAGTGTATTCCAGTTCTCTACCATGACGCTTGAAAAGATCTGTTCCAAATAATTTTTATTCTGTGTTCGATTATTTCCCAACTTGATGTCTTGGTCAGAGTTGGGCATGATCAAGTGTACAACAGATACTTGTGGTCCAAAGCAAAACCTCAGCTCTGAACCTCTGCACATTTGGTGACTGAATTTGAATGTATATGACAACTCATTAGCTGGTTGGCATTGGTTCTGACTAGGAACCTGTTTTCTGGTTTTGTTCATATACAGCCATAATCAAGCAACTCTGTACTAGATCCTTTTTTTGGCGTAAAATGGAATGACACTCCCAAAGTCCAATTTATACAAGATGAGGCTGTCCAGATATCCTCACCAAATTTTGCTATAGAAATAATCTCACAAGAATAGGTGCTCCACTAAGATTTCTGCAAACTGAAGACAAAAGTTTGCAAATTAACCTTGCAAGATGTTAGCCTTGTCAAACCTGAACCTAAACTCTAGGTCATATTTGGCCTCAGACCACAAAAGCTAACCCTAATCTGATGAAAAACTGGATTGAAAATACATCACCTTGAACTACAAAAGGGAGGACTGATTGGAGGAAAAAAAAAAAACATTTAGGAAGATCGGTGCCTCTACCTGAAGAAGGAAACAGAAATTCAGTCGGATGCCCTAAACAAAATAGTAACAAATATGATGATTACATTAGCTGATGCTCTAGAGTCCCTTCAGTGTTTCCTGCAGATATCTTAAGTGAAGGACATGGCTTCATATAATGTTGACACAGTTTTAATTCACCCCATAAAAAGCTTCACCCAGCTCGCAACATTAAATTCTTCACAAACATTGGCTTGGATATGAAAGGAATATTCTGTGTGTTTTCCCTTTTGTGGTTCTTTTCTATGAATATTGCAGTGAATTACTAGGTATTATTCTCTGGGGAATTTGAATATTTGAATTTGAAAATACAAATATTTTCATTGGAAATCTGGATTTATGTTACACCCATTCAGTCCAGGAGCAGACACAGTACCATTGATCATATTAGTCACTGCTGCCTAATAATCACTCAGGGTATGTCTACACTTGCACCCGAGTTGGAACTTGGGATGCAAATGTAGGCATTCAAAATAGTCAATGAACCTGGGATTTAAATATCCCGCACTTCATTAGCATAGTCTCAGCCGCGCGCTATTCCGAACGTCAGCTGTTTCGAAAGTGCAAGTGCGCTCGGGGCCGTGTTAGTTTGGAATAGCGCGTGGCCAAGACTATGCTAATGAAGTGCAGGATATTTAAATCCCTGCTTCATTGACTATTTTGAATGCCTATATTTGCATCCCTACTTCGAACTAGGGTGCAAGTGTAGACATACCCTCAAGTCTCACACAGAGGAATTAATTTAAGTCAACCCTTAACAGGTCAGTTTTCTATTTCAGACCCTAGTTGTCACAGGACCATTAGTTTCCCCACCCTTTTGCTAGTGTCACTACCACCCGGTGGATTTGAACCTGGAACCTTGGTAGAGGAGCATCTACAGCTTGAGCTATAGTCTTCAGTCTAGGCCAGTGTTTCTTAAACAGAGTTCAAAATGGCCACCATTAAAGAGAAAGGCAACCTTTTTTTTTTTCTCAATAACTTTTCCCCAGGCCTTCCCCTTTTTTTTTCTCAACCAAAAATCCTTGGTGTTCCTTATTTAAAAAAAAGAATTGTTTGGTGTTCCTTGGTCTTAAAAAGTTTAAGAAACACTGGCCTAGGCTGTAGAGGTCTCTTGATCTTATTTGTTGCTGTGGGCTAAGTGACACTGCATGGGACAGTGAACCACACTAGGTGTGTGGGTTACACAAGGACTTCCAGTCCTGTCATACATACTTGTCCACTTCAGTCAGTGTCATCACTGCTCACCCCAATACTACACATGTGACTCATGCTCAATCAAAACTAACCAACATGTCTTCAATTTGAAACATACACACCCACAACATGCTGCTCATGAACAATTTGCAGAGTAAGA